GGATGTTTGACATCACTGATATTCCAGCAAAGGCAAATGAGAGCGACGCTATCTCTCAGGCCCCCTCAGGATCCACCACCAGTAAAGTCGCATCACCAGGAGGCAGATGTTCAAGAGCGCTGAGAACAAGACTCCTTGTGCACGGCTGGGAGCAGGAGGGGGAAAGGGGGTGAAATTCCCCAGTTAAAGCCAGAGCTGTGACCCAGCCATCCTGCTTCTGGGTATTTATCCAAAATAGGACCTCAAAAGATTTTTTTCACACCCATGTTGCCTGCAACATAATTCACAGTAACTCAAAGCTGGAAGCAACCTAAATGCCCATCCCCTGACACATGAGCAATACAAATGCAATGTAAACCGACCCTGGACTATGACCAAGCTTGCAGAATAAGGGCATCCTGCCCTGTGCTCCAGATGACGCATGGGAAATTTCATCACACACTCTTACTTCGACAGATAGATGAGGCCTCTAAAGGAGTGAGCGCTTACACCACTGAGTGTTGTGGGAGTAACTTTCGCTGCCTCAACCAATAGTCGCTGAAATACGAGCCCACAGTGCAGCGGGGAGCGACTTCCGCTCCATCAGCCAATAGCTGCTGAAATACCAGCCCACTGGGGCGTGGTATATTTCTCTTTTAAAAAGAGAAGCATATCCGGATCAGGCCCTCTTGGTTCCAGCTCTTGGTTCCGGTGCTTGCTCCTGGTTGGGCGCCATATGTTGTGAGGGCTGGCTTGTTGGGGTTTCTGTCCCTCCCAGTACCCCAACAGCCGGCAAGCAACAAAGAAAATCACACACAAGACTCCATAAGGTTATAAACTGATTGGCTCATTAGGTCAGGCTTCTTGTTAACTCTTATAACTTATATTAACCCATTATTCTCATCTATGTTAGCCATAATGGCTCTGTACCTTTCTCTGCTGGGCAAGTTACATGCTGCCTCTTCGGTGGTCTGTACAGGAAAGGCCCCTACTTCCTGTCTGGCTTTTCCGCCTATACTGCCTGCCTGGCCAATCAGCGTTTTATTAAAATATGATTGACAGAATACAGATAATTCTCCCGCACCAACTGAGAATGATGGCTGCCATGAGCAACTGATGGCGGAGGAGACGCCATCAATTGGTTCCCAGGAGTCTTCTAGAAATCTACTGCTCGTACAGCAGTGTATAGAGTTAACACTAGCGTACTGTCCACTTAAAAACTGTTGATCAACTGCGACGTAGCTCAGTGGTAGAACACTTCGCCTGGCTGCCGGGGTTGGGATTCAGTTACATACATCCCGGCATGCCCTTGCACTCGATCATACAGCTTAAGATAAAAAGTTTTACATTTTTTGTTTAAAAAAAAAGGCTTTCTATAACAATGCTCACAACAGCCTGTTTCATGACAGCCCCATCAGGAACAATTTTGATTTCAAAATAAGATTCTTAAACGGAATACTAGTAAGCAATTAAAAGAAATATATTATAATATAGTGACATCATAGAAGAAATGAAGGAGGCCATTGTTATGTCCATGAAGTGTCTAGGTGTGTTGTCTGTTTTGAAATTAGTTCTTCTCATTAACATTCACTATTGGCAAAATGTTCGCAGGTTTTGACTGTAAGTTCCTTGTCGAATATACTTATAAAGCATACTCTACCATGCCATTGTTTGATTATTTTATTTGACTTGGTGTATACATGCCTGAGTGCATACATGTGTCATGGGGGGCCAGAAGAGGGTGTTGGGTCTTCTGAAACTGGAATTGCAAGGTTGTGAGCCTCCCTTGTGGCTGCTCAGAATCGAACCTGGTCCTCTAAAAGAGCAAGTACTCTATTTTTCCTTTCTTTGTTTCTTAAAAAAATAAATAAAATAAAATAAAAATAAAAAAATAAAAAAAGGTGGGTTGGAGAGATGGCTCAGCGCTCAGGAGGGCTGACTGTTCTTTCAAAGGTTCTTGTTTGGGTGGCAGCGTCATTCTGGCCCTTGCATCCATAAATGCAAAGACTGGGATATTCGGATGGAGGTTCCATACCAATACCCCTCCTCTGGCGCTGCCTCAATCCAGACTCTGTCTCTGAGAAAGCATGCCAAATGATGACTCCCTCCCCAGGATGCTCAAGACCACTCCCACAGGGTATTTAAACTGCCCCCCAGAAAACAAACACATGGTTATTTCGGTCTTCCTTTCCTATCTCCTCTTTTTTGGGGGGTGGGGTGGGGTGGGTTGGAAAGCCATCCGGGAACATGGTATCTATCAAACCTGGGCTTTTCCTAGTTCGGTTTGGTTTGGTCTGATTTTGACTATTTCATTGGCAGAAAAGCTTATTGGGGTACAGAGACTTTTCAGTCCTGAGTTCAATTCCCAGCAATCACATGATGGCTCACAAATACCTGTAATAAGATCTGGTCCCATCTTCTGCCTGCAGGGACACACGCAGGCAGAACATTGCATACATAATGAATGAATGAATGAATAAAGAAATAAAGAAAAAGAAAAGGCTCTCCTCCTAAATCTTTTACAGTGAGCTCTACAAAAGGCAAATTTAAGCTACGGAGATGGAAATCTGAACAACACAGCAGCGGCGAGGAAGGGCTGACAGTAGAAATAGCCGGAGTCTTGATGGGGGAGAGTTATAAAGGAGTAAGGGCTACATGCAGGCCGGAGTGCACTGAGACACCATGCAGTGTCTGTACAGCTGTGAGTCAACACTCCCATCACTAAAGGAAAAACCATGGCAGTGCTCAGCTTTCAAAAGGCTGCTGTCCTGCGGCTGAGGGGGAGCCGGCCCAGGGAGTGGTGCTAACTCTGCGCTTGCAGAGGACCCGCGATTGTCCCAGCACCCACACAGCAGCTCAAGCCTCCTGCAACCCCAGTTCCAGGGGATCCCATGCCCTCTTCTTGACTCCCCTGGCTCCTGCACATTCATGCTGCAGGTAAACTTGTGCAGGCTCACACATACACACGCAAATAAGTCTTTTAAGAGCGACTCCTGCTGGTTATAGTGACAGTACCTTGTAGGTGGGCACAAACAGCCTGCCCTGTCCTGTACACACACACACACACACACACACACACACACACACACACGTACACACACACCGTGAAGGTAGCAAGCAAACAGGAAACGTGGCCTGAGGCTACTTTCACTGTCAAGGTCAAATCCTTCGGCACTGCTGTTTCAGGGTGTTTTGCTGCAACACTAATGAGCAACCAAACATTCTTTGTTGCATTTTTTTTTATCTCAATAAAGAGGAAATAATGCTGAAACTATACAATGTCAAGACATAACATCTGTGTGGGGCAGCTGCTAAGAAGAGATAATACCATTTGCTCCCGATAAACTACTTTGCAGGAATGTCTCAAAGATTAATGAGTTAGCAGGCAGCTCCTTCTCGGTAAGGAGACTACTTGTTGCTAACTCGGGTCCTTCAGGGCATAGTGAATGCATCAGGCCACTAGGGCACACTTAATAAATAAATAAATTAAATAAATAAAGCAAAGTGGTGGGCTTAAAAATTAATGTTTTGATAGTTAAGGTTTTATATATTCAGAATGTTGCTTTTTAAAGCATAACATATGCTTGAAATGCACTAAAAGCCTTTGAAAACCCAGCTTTTACTCTGAGTTCCACAGCACAGCTCTCCCTCTGTGAGTTTACCATTAGGAGCCCAAGGATAAATACATTCGATGCGGTCACTGCCTCCAAGAGTCTCATGAGCTGGTGAGGAATCAAGAAATGCAAACAGATACAAGTGCAAGATGACAACACTTTTACATTCCTGCGTTCCAAGTATTAGAGAAAAGCAGGGACTAAGGCACCTAATCTGTGGGAAGAGAAGAGTGGAGAGGGCAGCAGGAAGCCTCTTGGGAGCAGAGGCATCTGGACAGACCAAGTCTAGAAGGGTGTGGTCAGTATCGGAAAAGGACCTCTAGGGGAAAGACCCCACGCAACCCAGGAGTCAGGAGAAAGGAATGATCCATGGTGACAAATCAAAGAGGTCCAGATCACAGTGGTGCTTAGCTGCCGCCATCTTGTGGCCTCTCAGATGGCATCAGCAAGAGGGGACTCTGTGACACGATGGGAACAGTGGAAGAAGGGCACACACAGGCCGTGTTCTCTGGGAGTTGTGACTGCATGGCCGCCAACAGCTCTGCTGACTTCCAGAACCACTGACAATGTCCACCCCTGCCCAGCCACCAGGCCACACCAGCTTGGACGTTGCTCTACTCTTTCTGGGACAAGAATACAGAACTCCAGTCAGGAGTGGTGTCACAGGGAGAGGCACCCAGTGGCTGGAGACCACAGCCCCCTTGACCTATACTAGATTATCAACTCACTGCCTGCCCCACAGACAGTCCAGATATCCTCACCCTCTGTCTCCAGAAGAATAGCTCCTTTATATATGCCCCAAGTACTTAACTTCCGAGATCAGACGAGATCGGGCGCATTCAGGGTGGTATGGCCGTAGACGCCCCAAGTACTTAAGTGGGCACTCAAGTTGAATACTAGTCATTAAAAGAAACCAAGAATTTTTGGTTGTGAGCTAGCCTTTAATGGCTGAGCCATCCCTCTAGACTCTCTGCATGTGTGTGACAGTTATGTAGCTTGTCTGTTTGTAAGGCTCCTACCAGTGAGAGGACCTGTCCTGGTGCTTAACTGGCTTTTGGGATCCTGTTCCCATGCTGGATTACCTCGCCCAGCCTTGATACAGAGGGAGGAGCTTGGCTCTCCCTCAACTTGTGCTAAGCTTTGTTGACTCCCATGGGAGGCTTGCCCCTTTCTGAATAGAGATGGAGGAGGAGTGGAGGGAGGAGGGTAGATGGGGGGGCGGTCACTAACATGGAACTGTGGTCAGCATATAAAATAAATTTTAAAAACGTGAATTAAATTTTAAAAACCCAAGAATTTAAAATAAGGCAACTTCCTTATAAAATGTCCATCTTTTCATATGAGTGACTGCAGGTTTTTGGAGGTTCGATTTCTGATATACTCTACTTCACCAAAAAGAACACTTACTGTTGATGTGGTCGATGTAGTAGGCACCAATCTGAGGGTCAAACCCTGCTTCCCATCCCCACGGCAGCTCATCCCCGACACAGTCAGCGAAGGACAAGGGCTTCGTTAACCTACAAGAAACCAGAAGAAACACACCGTCACGTGTCATCAAATCAGACGTGCCAAAGCGCAGGTTAAGTCTAACTGTGAATTAAGCACCCAGGTTACGTTTTCTTCTCGTTCTCAACTGTTCCTAGAATTTCCATTATTGCACGTGAGATTTATTTTTAAATCTTATTTGTGTATGTGTGTGTACAAGCGCATGAGCACTCAAGGGAGTGTGGAGGAAAGATGCCCTGAGTTACAGACAGTTGTGAACCAAACGGCACGGGTGCTGGGAACCAAACTCCGGTTCTCTGGAAGAGCTGCAAGCGCTCTGAACCTCAGAGCTGCCTGTTTCTTTTCAAGGACAAAACAACAGAAGCGAATATCTAAACATGTAGAAGAGCTCACTCCTAAAACCAGAAGGTAAAACTCTACAAACGAAGCAGGCCATGTTCAGTCACAGAACCCCAGACTGACAGTGAGGAGAGCTGGGACCCAGCTGGAACAGAGGAGCAACACAGATGTCCCAGTAGGAGTAAAGCCGCCCCAGGATTCAAACTCCATCATCTAGAACTCTTATCAGCACTTCTGAGACAAAAATACGCATCAAGAGGCTGGGGGGGAGGGCTCCGCTGACAAAGCACTTGTGAGGTTCAGACCCCAAGCCCCCACATAGAACTGAGTGGAGCTAAAGTCCACCTGGATCCAGCAAGTAGGAGAGAGGGACTCCCCAGGAGAGCTGGCTAGCTGGACCAATAGAAGAGACAAACTCAAGACTAAACGAGAGACCTCACTCAGTAAATTAAATGAAAAACAAGAAAGACCTCTGGCCTCTACACACATGTGCACTTAAGCACAAGCACACCTCACACACATCCGAGCATGCAAACACGCACTTAAACCACTGTGTGTGTGTGTGTGTGTGTGTGTGTGTGTGTGTGTGTGGTGACAACTCTCTTTATACATATATCTCAGGCTATTCCGGTTTCAGCTGTGGGTGGTCTGGCTGATTTAAAAGTCTAACTATGGCACCTGCTCTAAGGTCTCCCTGAGATGAAGGACACGCATCTGATGGAACCATGCACATCCAGTATTTGTACACAGATCAACATAGTCTCACCTTTCAAAGCTGCCTTAGGCTTTTTCTCTTAGGAGAACTTTCTCAGACATATTCTCTTTAAGATTAACTCTGCATTGTGGGGTAAAGGGAACACTTCTGCATTGCTGGTGGGAGTGGAAACTGGTACAGACCCTTTGGATGTCAGTGTGGCGATTTCTCAGAAAATTAGGAAACAACCTTCCTCAAGACCCAGCAATACCATTTTTGGGTATATATCCAAAGGATGCTCAGTCGTACCACAAGGACATGTGTTCAACTATGTTCATAGCAGCTTTGTTTGTCACAGCCAGAACCTGGAAACAACCTAAATGCCGCTTGACTGAAGAATGGATAAGGAAAATGTGGTACATTTACACAATGGAGTACTACACAGCAGAAAAAAATAACAACATCTTGAATTTTGCAGGCAAATGGATGGAGCTAGAAAACATCATTTTGAGTGAGGTGACCCAGACACAGAAAAGACAATTATCACATGTACTCACTCATAGGTGGTTTTTAAATACAAAGCAAAGAAAACCAGCCTACAATTCACAATCCCAGAGAACCTAGACAACAATGAGGAACCTAAGAGAGACATAATAGATCTACTCTACATAGGAATTAGAAAAAGACAAGATCTCCTGAGTAAATTGGGAGCAAGGGGACCTTGGGAGAGGATTGAAGAGGAGGGGAGAGGCAGGGAGGGGAGAGGTGGGGAGGGGAGAGGCGGGGAGGGGAGAGGCGGGGAGGGGAGAGGTAGGGAGGGGAGCAGAGAAAACTGTAGAGCTCAGCAAAAATCAATAAAAAGTTGTTTTTTTTTTTTATAAAAAAAGACTAACTCCACTTTACCACCTCTCTCTTTAAAGCTGATGTGGGTGGGGGACTACGCAGTCTTCTTTCAGCAGAATACGGTCTAGACATAATTCCAGATTCACCTTTCCCTTCCCATGCCTCCTTTAGGTTCAGGGATGTCCCTTGGCTGCTGAAGCAGTCATGGCAGGTTGTTGTAGCAGGCTGGGAATGCCCTGTCACAAGGGAAGCCGCCATCAGCATGTCTTCTGATTGACTCTGACTTCACAGCACTGGCCTGGCTCTTCCATATGCAATCACCCAGCGTCCCTTCTGCCAGTGCTAAGGCAAAGCAAACGTCTCATACAGATTACTTTCCAAATCACTTCATCTATCAGAATAGCGAAGAACTTTGCCTATGCCTCAGAACGCTGGGGAAATGGCATGAGAATTTCCACTGGCCCCTCAAGGACACAAAACCCTGACACCGCTTTCAGTTACCCTTCATAGTCTGGAAATGGCTTTGAGAGCACTGGCCTCTGAAGCCCACAAAATCCATAATGAGGGCAAGCAGCTCTAACACAGCCAGGATGTGAGTTTTGCTAACTGGGCATCTCTCTCTCCTTGATTTCCCTCTAAAGGTGGCAATCACCCTGTCTCCACATGCCCTTCCTGCAACATAACTACCTAAGACTCATATCAGGACAGAAAGGGATTATACAGGGATGGTTTCTATGCTATTGTAAGTGGGTATCGACACAACCTGGCATGAATTCTCCCGTTGGCTCCCAAGCGGCATTGAAGCCTGTTCCATATCATTGTGCTATTGAACAGAGCCCCTCAAGATCCCCTCAAGATCCACACTATCAACAGAAGCACACATCTTGGATTCCAGGGTAGATCTACAAACTCTGGGTCCTAGCAACTTTCTAGGTATTTCTCTCCAGGTATTTCTACTGCACGAGAAGGCTCAAGAGCCTCTAACTTAGAAGTTTAAGAGCTTAAAATATGGCATCAAAGAGATCTAGGTCCAAAGCCTTGTCCTGAAACATACTCACTATACTACCTAGGGTAAGTTATTCACTGCAAGAGTCCCAGTCCATGGTAAAGGACAGTTGGGGGTGGGGGGAGAGGATTCAAATCACGGCTAGTTAGTTTTATGCCAACTTGACACAAGCTGGAGTCATTTGGGAAGAAGTAGCCTCAGTTGAGAAAATGGACAGGGTTTGTAGGAAGTCTTTTGAAAATTTTATTAATTGATGATTGATATGGGAAGGCCCAGCCCACGTCTGGGCTGGGGACCCTGGGAGCTGGAAGGCGGCAAACTGAGCCAGCCATGAGAAGGAAGCCATTAAGTGACACACCCCCACGGCCTCTGGATCAGCTCTTGTTCCGGGTTCCGGCCCTGGCTTCCCTTCATGGAGGACAGTGATCCTCCGTGAAGCTGAAATAAACCCTTCCCTCCCCAGCTTTTTTTTTTTGCTCTTGGTGTTTCTAATTTTACAGCGACAGCACACTAACTAAGACAGCTAGACAGGGTAGGGCCTGGTGAAGAGGAAACTTCAAAATGTGCTGGAAGAGTTAACTGAACCTGAAGCTGTGAAAAGCAGTGTGCTCAAACGCAACGATTTGCTCAGTTTGCTGAGCAATCATGGAGAAGGCCTCAATTTGAGTTTTAAAAAAATCATGCTGTTAGAATTGTACTCAAAATCTACCTATGTCATAAGCTGCCCAGGAAAATAACATTTTTCTTTTGATAAAGGAATTATATGCCATATCAAAAGTTCTCACGCCAAATAAAGTGACCTTGTCTACCTCCACCAGCGAAGGAATGCCTCTTGACCTCCTGTCCAGAAGCACCTGTGTGTGTTGCCCAACTCGATTTGAGGACTCTCGTTTCCCCACCATCTGATGGAGGCTGTCAAATGGCATACAGCCTGAAGAAAGGGGAGTGAGGAGACGGAAGGGCAAGGTTAGATGACAAGAGAAAGGCCGTATACCTGAAAGCTGACAAATCGACACACGGAAATCTGAGTGTGGCTCACATAGTCACTACCAGAAAAAATTCAAAAGCTTTGGGCTGTGTGCAATGATCACAAGGTGTGATGGCCTTGTTACTATTTGCGAACAGTTCTGCGTTGTCCCTCTGACCTGGTTAGTGAGCACTCACTGGCCTGTCACTGTTGGAAGAGCAGATTGCATTTGGCAGGTAGAAATTTGACTGGGAGCTCAGGGAACCAGTTCCTCAGAAGTTCTCATTCATGAAAACGCTAACGCAAAGTCTTCTTTACAGAGTTCCTTCAAAATTAGACTTCATGCTTTATTCTCTGCATCTGGACAGCGTAATTTCTGAGTACTCCACCTATACGGAAAGCCACTAAGCATAGATTTTAGACGTCCAAGTTTAAAGACTATCCCCGGGCACCAACACACAAAATCAAGCCGACTGCTATGCTGCTCTCCTGACAATGGAAGACCACTCTGATAGAAGAGGAACTTCTTTCCCGTGGCCCAGGAACACACTCGGCCCCCATCCTAAGGAAGTCTCTCCCCAACCCCGCCCCCTACTTCAGATAGTCGCAACGCTCGCTGATCGCAGTCTGGAAATGATAACCTGGAGAGTTCAGTCGTCCTCGGCACCTGGCTCTGTAGTTACCTCATGAGCACGCTCTGCAAAACCAACACTTGCAAGCGATTGGTTTTCGAACCAGCACATCATTTATGCTGTTGTTTGGGGACCAGATATACTACTCCTGACAATAGCTTCAGTGCTTACAATAGTCTATGTCCGAAAAAGGAAAAAGAAAAAAAATCCACTAGGTTAAGCGAAAGGAAAGCGTGATTCCATCGCATGCAGTTAGTGTGCAGTCCGTAAATCCCTAAGAGCAGAAGGCGGACTACTTGGTTACAGAAGACGGGAGAACATGGAACAGACAGACTCCTTATGGGCTCCATGGGGAAGTGGGAATCTTTCAAACTGAACACAGGTCTGGGGTTGCCCAGAGCTGCGGCTGCATTGAATGTCATTGTATTGTTCACATAATAACTGTTAATCCACGTTACATAAATGCTGCCTCAGAAGCTGTTTTAAAGGGTAGTAACAAGTATGCAACAAAGCCAAGACTCCTAGTGAATAAAAGTCCTTTCACAGGAGACAATAAATAATTAAAAACCAGGAAACGTTCAACATCCCTAATAATAAAAAGAAATGCCAAGGGCAACACTACTGAGGCTGCATTTTAAGCCTATTAAGCTATCAAGGTTTAGCTT